TTTCTGCCGCTAGGACCCATCAGGGGGTTATCATAACCGTTGTGCTACTTTATCGGTATAATGGGTCATAGCTATAAAGTATGAAACGCATAAACGCGTTATTCACCGCTTAAGCTTCAGAATAGATAATGGCTTTGATAGCAGACGGCAGATGTCGCGTCTAGCCGGTCTCTCGCACAATCGCAACACATGAAATTCACGGCCGTGGGTAGGTAATTGAAGCTTTGTTCTGCCACCACATGCCGTCGCTAACACGCAGCGTAATTGCAATCGGTTAAAAATCGGTTGCAAAAAAGCGGCAATTAAAATAGACTCAATTGTCGGCTGAAAATAATAGAGAAACATTTTTGTCGTTGTCATTGAGTGTATGGCGGGACTAGATCCGTTTGTCTCCTAATCTCAGTAGATGTAGTCTTTCCAACAACAACGAGTGATTGATCGTGTTTTGTTTTCGTAATAAATTCAACAGAAATACTTAAAGCCTTTATTAAGATCTCTTTATTTGATATTACGATTGAGCTTAGCTTAGTTTTGTGGTTATGGGTAGAGAGTGAGTCAACTCTCGGTTATCTTTATGAAAGAGGTTAAAATTACTCATTGATTTTCAATGTAATATCTTTCACATAACATGTTTAACATTTACGTATTTTATTTTTATTGCAAACAATTATACCATTTTTAAAAGATGATGGTTATTTCTCAAAGCTTTCGTTATAATTAACTTAATATATTAATGTCGTGTTAGCATAGCAGAAATTACGAAGACTATTACTTAAATATCAAAAGAAAATTGTTATAACTTGTAAGCATCGTAAAGTTGTAAAAAGTCACTGTCGGTGTAACAAGATTATAATACTAGTTATTTAATATTCGTTGCAAGCTCCACTTAATACATCAATGTCACTGCTGGGCGGTTTTTGTTGTTACTAAAAGAATTAGCGGTGTAGCAAGTCAAACATGAACTTCGTTGTTTTTAAAATTTTAACAACGAATTTTTAAGTTTATAACGAGCCTATTTTGTGCCCTTTTATATCTCATGAATCGATGTTTTAATGATAAAAACAATGTAATTATATTATAAGGTCGTATAATGAATTACTTTGCTTTAAATTTTAAATAAGGAGCTAACTTAAAATTAACTTTACAAAGTTATATAATAATAAGATTTATTGTACTTACCTAAATGAGGACCGTTGACGATTACGTCCATGGACGGTGCTCAGAATCATAATGTAGCTTAGCTTACATAAAATAGCCTATAAATATTTTGCAAACAATAACTTTTTCTCATCTCCTTTTTGCAAACCGACTATGACCGAACATTTGAATTTAGAATCAATTATTCCCACAGTAATTGATTCTAAATTCAAATGTTCGGTTTTTAATAAAGCTCATGCATGTTTATGTTAGTAGACATGTATGCCGGCGGCGACGGATTGGCAGAGTTGTCGCAGGCGGCGCAATGTGCGCGCGCGACCTTTTGCGCGCTAATTGTTAGGCGCGTGCGCTCCTACGCACATATGTAGGGACACCATAACGTGTAACGTATCCAGACTGTCCTGAACAGAATACAGGATTGTTGAGGGATAATTTCCTTGGTGGATTTACATTGAAAATAACTGTCTAAGTCAATTCGAATTACTCGTAACATTGTTTTGTTGCTGGGCGTATTATTATTTAGTGATAAATAGCGCGCTATTGATAGCAAATTAAGTATGTATGAAGACTAAACTCGGTATTTATAACATATATTTGTAAAAGTGGAAAATGGAAGAAAATTTTTCGTCCGTATTTCCCTTAAATATTGTTAATTTAATCAACAACACTGCTTCTATTTCATTGTAACAAAGATGTGTTACAGACCTGATTGTCCCAATATACTTAATTACAATATACTTCATATTTACAGATATTCTGAAATACCATTTGTCTCTGGCCTCTGCCTATCTTTACAGCCTACTCGCCCCACTTCATTTTTTATGTTTGATTTAATCAAACTAGTTACTGTTAACGAAGCACATGGCACAGAATACCATGGATAATAAGATGACTATTATCGATCAATTCAGCTAAGCCTCTGTTGCTGTCTGTTTATTACAATTCAGTACGTTAATAGACCTCAGAAGCAGGGTGTTCTGGTATGCACGTCCAGACGTGCTAGCCGCATAGCTAAGCAGTCCACACGCTCCCAGCGGGAAAATCTCGACACCTTATCTACTTAGTACTCGTATGCCACATCAAGTTAATAGCGAAAGCTAGATTGCGAATTTCTTTTACGAAAATATATAATACAACGCAAGTAATAGCACAGCCGGAACACCGACCGTTCTTTCTCGTTTAATCTGTTCTCGTTGCAATTATAACCCATTTAATAAATCGTGTATTCCTATTAAAGTAATGCTCACAATAAAATCGACGAAGTCCACCTTGAGCAGCCACCGAGCGCGGGATACGGTCGCGTTCACGGATTAATGGTGGCCATTTAATGGATCCGACGATGGCGGCTGGCAGTCGCTTTATTACTCGATTAAGCTCCGCGACAGAAATTGTTAGGGCCACCATTGTAAAAGCTCGCCTAACGAACGACGCGCCTGTATGACGAACTGATAAACATTTGGTTCGCCCAATTTTAGTTTCAGGTCCTTTCCATGTTATTAATTCTCCATTCAAACACTTCCTTCTCGTTTCAGTTAGTTAATTTTGTTTAATTTTTTCACGATTTAATTTGTAAAAAAAGAAACGCTAATTATGCCGGAAAATACCCAAGCAAAACCACCATCGTTTAAACCAATATTATACATTTAGTTCCTGCGTACCGCGACTCTACCACGCGGCTCTAATCCACTTTAGATTACAGAACGGATCTTTCAAGGGCCAATTAAAAATATGAATATCAGTATCATTAATACGGCCAAGAATATGAATATTTCCAGTGAATTATTGAGAATCTGTGCCCACATTGGAATCAATTAAGAGGCGCTCCCGTGTTCAGGGCCTTCGTGCCACCTGCCCGCAAGAGCACACACGGAGTGCCCGCCAAAAATAATGAATCTACTCCCTCGTCAGACGACTTAATGGGCCATATATACGGTAACGGATAGAAGAAAAAAATTTCACCTTTACCGGCAACTTTTAAAAAATTAATAAATAATCATTTCTAAAGTATTAACTGAAAAGTATTCTTTAATTGATATGTCTTAACTCACATTACTATTATATTAAACTTACGTTAATTTTGATAATAAACATGGTCTGTCACAAAACCACTATATGGAAAAAAGGTTAGATTCGGGCTTTTCATGCTCTCATTTCAAAGTTATTTTAACAGAAAAGTTGGTTTTTATTTGTTTATATACGTATCATATAAATATACCTTTGAGCTATTTGACTTACTAAACGCGTAATTGCAAGGGAGTCTCGTGACAGCTTATTGCTCAGAAGAATTATTAAAGTTTAAAAAATCACTGGTTTTCCAGTGATTTTTTAAACGTTGTTTCTCATGGTCTAGTTAAACATCTCCGGCTTGAAGCCATATGAAGTTAAGTATAAGTTTTCATAATAAATATTAAAAGTCAAGTACATAATTGTTAAAACCTATATTCGTGAATGACAATTACATTTCGTCATCTCAACAGTCAGCACTCATTTAATAAAAAAGTCCTGTGTCCAGCTGAACATTATACATATATACTACGACGGCCCTTGTTATTTGTTTCTAAAGTGAACTCTTTGTAAATTAGACCTCCATCGGTTAACAAAAAAGCAAAAATACATCTGCCTTAATTCAGTCCTCACAAATGGATATCTTTCATTTTTGTATAAATACTCTCAATAATAGAACAGTGTTTTTCAATGCATGGTTGTTAAAATAGAAATCAATAAAAGTTATGTTGTTTGTCCATTATATATTTTAAGTTTGATAATCCAAACAAAACAAAATCAGGATCTAAGTCGAGTTAACAATAGAAAATTTATGTTATTTTTACAGAGTAAGCTATTGAAATATCTCTTGTGTATAATTTGACTGCGCCGCATTTAAAATTTTCAGTCTTACCGCAAGCATAAAATTATTTTCTGCATTGTATACCAGGAACTATTACTGTTTATGGAATACAATGTAGTAATATATTTATTTCATGAACGGTAATATTGTACAGCACAACAAATTAATGACTCTATTTAAGTCCTAATATGACTTGAACGGCCGATCAAACGTTCACACAGTTTCGATTCTCTTTCAATGACACAAAAAATATGGCCTTTATTTGCATTCTTAAAATAGTCTGTTAAAACAAGAATTTAAATATGGACTTGCATACATCGCAATGTATTTAATCTTTTAATGGACTTAAGGGAATGATTTACTAACAGTGGTTAAGACAGTCATTAAATAGACATGAGCATCGGCGAGCCGACAGCCGCGGGGCACGTTTTAAAATCGGCCAGACATCTTCACTGCATCCGAGGCACCGGCACAGATTAACCCTCAATCGGAAAAAAATAAAACATGGCCTTTAAATTGAAGCTCACTGAAGTACAAAGGATTTAACGACAATCCCGAGAAAAGTATAATCGTTCCAGAGTTAAATTGACAACGCAAACATCCGCTTTAAACTTTATTTCATCCGTAACAGGTTCGGAACTTTGAGACGTTAACCAGCTAATGAACGATATCGATTAAAGCATACACGATCCAAGCCAAAGAGCACCATAATAAAAGTATAAAGCTAGAATATAAAACGCTTTATACACCTTACCAATCAATTATCAATAAACGGCGTATAAAATAGGCTAAAAGCGCGATAGCTGCACAAATTCCGTACTTCACCGCCTGAAGCGTGTGCCTACTTTTTGCAGGGGCAGGTGCACGCGCACATGCTATTAAATTGTCAAAGAACACACGAACACATACCTATGCACGCCCCTGATAGCTACCAATCCAATAATCAAAAGTCAAGTATGCGCACACTCGTGCCCTTTCGTGGACATACCACACCGGGATGCGCGTCCTAGACTTACGCGGAGGCACGAAACCGCCCGGGCCACCGCAAACTGTTTTGAGCGATGTGTGTTTAATATTCCGCAATAAATGGTGAATTACGTGGTCGGCGTAAGCCTTTTCGACGGGGCCGCGTAGCCATTACGCGTCGGGTAATCGCAAACCGCAACGCAGCAGGAGCGGCCTCGGAACAGGGAGCATATGCTCGCTGAATGTACGGCCGCGCAAGAGCGATGGCAATTAGCGAGTGCCGAGTTACACGCCGCAATGATCGGGCGCTACGCGATGACAATACACAGCTTTGTGAACGGCGCGTGGAGGACTGCGCTTCGCATGTGCTCGGAGCTTTTACGGTTTCGACGCCCGCCATATGACTCCTAACTGTTGTCTTACGTCAAAATATTCGCGGACATTGTCTCGGGGGCTTCTGAAGGGTGGCGAACGATTAAGTGATGCGCACGCTATTTGATCGTTCGACTGACCGTTTGTTACAACACTGATATTGTTTTAAGAAATTACAAAAGCTTTCTAACAAGCTCAGCAAGATATTTTATTCTTTATAAATATCACTGTTCAATGAAAATTTGCTGTTCAAGTGGGTGTCGCATAAATACCGTTTCTATTACTTACGCTTATACAGTGATCATTTTATTACAACTTACATTTATATCCCTTGATTTATCTCCAACGGACCTACTGCGAGATTTAATATACTACGTAACTATAAATTATTACCACCTTTTTGTCAGACATACATAATTCTTCGCACAATTCTCAAGTATTTCCCACACGTGTGAACGAGCAAATTTAACAAGAATAAATTCTATAAGGCGTAAATTATAAAAGCGTTCATTTTGTCTATTAAATCAATACATCTTTGTATTTTAAGAAAGTTGTGTTTAATTTGGAATCAAAGGCTCATGAAAATAGCAATAATGTTATGAAATTTTGACAATTTTTTTAGTTAATTATTAGACGTTGAAAAGAAATTATTTAACACTACAGAACTATATTATTATTTCTTTGGATAGGTATCTTTATTAAATGTATGTCAATTACAACACCAAGTATATATAAAACCAGTGACATGCCAAATTAAAGCAGACTAAAAACTAAAGATTTATCGCACAGCGCAGCGCTGCGTTGTTAAAGAAAAGTAGCCTTATTGTAACTGTACATAATAAGGTTGAATGGAATCAAGTTAAAGGAAGTAAAAAAACAGAGTCGTTTAAGCCTTCGCAGACGTTTGAATAAATCCGTTAAGGGTGCACATGCCGCGGCGAGCGGCGCGAGCATGTCGCGTGGTGAATCTTGTCGACCGAGACTGAGGGTGTTCCTAGACCCGTCCCTTTATAAAACTCATATCGATACAGTGATTAAATTGTTAGTAAATATTGATACTAATTTTATGAAAACCCCATTCGAACGCTGGTCTATGAACTTCATGTACAACCATGTACAAACTTATATTGATAAAATGATTACATCTATCAGCCGTTTAGCTCAGTGGCTAGAGCGTCAGGCCGCGAATGCCGAAGACGTGGGTTCGATTCCCACAGCGGCGACAATCTTTTCGTACTTTTTCTACATGTTTTAATGTTCAATCTTAGGTGCAGAGATTAGCACTATAAAAAACTTTAAAATTTAAATGATTACATCGTTCGTAAAACTCCATTCAAACGGTGATCTATGTATGAAGTTTACAATATGAGTTTCTAATTGAGACTGAATAATTGATCGCCGACAGTTAGTAACTTAAAGCGTGTAAAGAAATACAAGTGACACTAGGTACAACTAAATCGTACATGTTACGAACATGAACATCAGAGGTTCTATATGTTAAGTAAATATAATAAACATAAATCGTTTTAAGCAGGTATTGACACTATGACCTTAAGACACTTTAAGCATGTTCCGCGGGTCGAAAAGTATTTTATTTATCATTCCATTACACCACTGCATGAAAGAAGGCAATTAACAAAGAAGCATAAAATGAGTGTCTCGGACAAGTGTTGTCACCAAATAAGAAATGGGACGGATTCTTGGCATTAGAGCGCGTCGATATCGAGGTTTCACTTTAGCTTCCCTAGGCCGCAGCCACCTGCCGCCCGCACCCCTACGCTATATTTTATTCCACTTAATCGTCCTTTCCGTTATGTTGTCCGTTTTTTATCCCGTACTTAAAGCAAATATTCCTGTTTCTGTTAACCGTGCACTGGCCGACCGCCCCATTAACTATAATAGACACTTTTAATTGAGAATCTATAAAAGGTTTCGCGAACTGCTGCCCGTATATGGGCGAGGCATTCATCATGGAAGCCGTGGTTCTCATCTGCCCAATTAATAAAAGTTGACTGTAAGGAATGGCGGACGACTTCGGCGACAGACGCTCGCGCCTCGCCGCCTGGGTACCGGTTCCACATGCCCGCAGCTGAAACATAAGTACCCGGCCGCCGTTTTATTTTGATTTGCTTATCTATCAAACGTGTACCTGTATGCATTACGGGGGATTTGCACGGCACCAGCTAGACTACGCGCTCGCTTACAATTCCTCCGAACAGTTATTTTGTTTCCTTTGCATCTGCTAACGGCAGACACACCGAATCGGTAGATTCATTAGGGACCTGTTACGTTTTCTTAGGGGGTGAAGTTTTTGTGCGCAGCAAAAGGTATTGCGGTCATCGAGATAGCGTGGGTGCCGCTTCATTGTGTCTGTCGAATCGAAGGAGGATTTGAAATTCGAACAAAGGCAAAACAAAAACAGCCAGAAAAACAATGATAAAAAGATGCGCGGGCGCGTGCCGCTACGACATGTGCACGCGCCTTACGTGGGACGCGCGAAGGGGGGGGCGGGGGTAGAGGGGGCGGGGTGCGCTAACGGGCCACACGCGCCACGTGCCGCCGTTATGTGCACCGATGCCCGCCAGAGGGCGCAGGGGCGACCCCTCGCATGCGCACCCTGAAGCACCTTCCCCCTGAAACCATACATTTCCCATGCGTAACGAAACACCTCGTAACCAAAGCAGATTAGCTGCGTAATTAGATTTCCCGAGATTGCACCAATGGGTTAATCGACTGAAAAATATCGCTAAGTCAAGTGTGATAGCACATATAGTGACATCGGTGATTTATTAGATGATGTATTGAATAAGAATTCATTGAAGTATTTGTAAAGTTTTAAATTTCGTTATGGATTTGTACACGAAATATTCAAAAGTTCTAAAATTTTCGGATGCCATATATGCATTTTTAGTTTGTATAGATAATTGTTCCTTAATTAAATCGATGCAAAATGAAATACTTGCGGAAAGCTATTATATATATTTAACTTGCCTTGATAAATTAAAATACAAAATTTACGACTATATTAGGAGTCTTTCAGAATGATAAAAATCTATAAGAACGTAAAAGGATTTACGAGTACACAGAATATTAAAGAATTTTTCTTGTTGTAGTTTTTATAATTCATCATTCATCATCAATTAATATGGATTATGTATTTGAGAGTTTCATGTAACTGTAGTTTTACTTGATTAACAAATCGTGTATTTAAGCCAAAACTTGATATTTTATCTACGTTGTTTTAGCTTTACGAAACAAATATTCAATCCGTCATTGGTCGCTATGATAGGAAACAAAACAAGAAATAACAATCACAATTTTCCGTCACTGGCTTCGTAAAATATAAACCCCTCTGAAGTATGTACTCGGTACGCCTTCCTTACAGATATTCCAAAAAGAAGTAAAGCATCGTAGGAATAAAAAATCAACTAAACATGTTTAGAAACACGTAGTGAAAATAAAAATAAACAATTTCTAGATATTATTTATATTTAAACCATTTTATGCTAAATTATTTTTACATCTAATACAACCAGTTCACTTGTCGTTATAAAACAGACTGCTTTCTGTCGACGTTGAATGTATTTCGAGTTCGGCCTATTCTTGCGGATAAAATCGTACCAATAGGAAAAAATGGTCAAGTCGTAAAAAGATTACCGCTTAAACAAGTAAACTTCGAGATAATATCAGCGGCGCTGGATAAAAAGAACGATTTCACAAATTACTAAAAAAGTTAATAGCAATTAATTCTTAAAGAAGCTAGCGGTTTGTGGTAACTCGTAGTACGATATGCTGTGAACTTTTCATAAGACTGACCTAGTACTAGCGTAACTTTTATGTAGTTTTGTTACATACTCTACTCAAAAATATATTCTCTCAGGGAGGTAGGTAAAACGATGGGTTTATGTGGACTAAAAAATAAATCCTGGTATAACATATCTTTCAAGCCTAAAAGGTCGCCGTCGCCGTCGCCGTCGCCGTCGCCGTCGCCGTCGCCGTCGATGGCTACGTTGTATTGTCGCCAATAGCTAAGCACCTACATAGGTTATAAAATGTATTATTATATACATAATTATTACTGTTTGCTGTTTTGTGTACCGAATAAAATAAAATAAAAATAAAATAAAACAACGTGTAAGATATAATTAACCTTTATATATAAAAACTGTCAAACTTAATATGGCAAAAAGATTGCTCTAATAATAACAAACCTGTGTTTATTGTGATCTATAAGGTCATGTCCCTAATTCACGTTATCCCTTTATGCATCACAGTATTCTCAAAACGTCAATTAAACTAAGCGTAAAAAAAAGTAAAATAACAGCCTTTACATGGCCCACTGCTGGGCAAAGGCCTCCTCTATACAGAGGGTATCAGGGCATAGTACACCACACGGCCCCACTGCGGATTGGCGGACTTCACATATCTTCGAAAAATATTTTTTTTTATTTCGAAAATATGTAGGTTTCCTCACGATGTTTTCCTTCACCGTGGAGCACGTAATAAGTCAGCACTTAAAGTTAAAAACTTCATTGGTGACGGCACCGGGGATCGAACTCAGGTTGCTCGGGTATATTGAAATAAAGGCGAGCGCCCGGACACTGAGCTATAACTAAGCATGTTTTGTTATATTTTCACTTACAACTTCTGTTGAGACCATGTGTTTGTTTAAAATTGCCGTTCATTAATCTTGAATGCCTTTATTATTGTTTTTATGCTCCAATTCTCTTAATCTGCACTGAGTACACGTTGGTAAATTATTTTGGTATCTTAAGCAAACTTTCGTCTAAGCAAACGTTTGTTACGTCAGTTCTCTCGCTCCTTTTTCTGCCTTCGGTATTAATGTATATCTGCAAGTAGCCATGTTTTTACTCTTTAAATAAACATCCAAAAAAAAAACGAACAATTTTCTGGGATGATAAATTTATATCTTCTTCACTTTTTAAAAAACCTTAATCAAAGAACTGTCTGCAACTTTTCTTGCCCTTGATGTTATTGTAACTAGACCGAATATAAAATAGAGCAAGTGGGGAACGTCCTGCCCAATACTCTGATTGGCGTAAAAGCTTCGTAATGATTGTGAAATTCGTCTACTATCATAAAATCAAGGCCACCATAGTACTTCGAGGCAACGGTGGGGCAGCCAGGTGCTGGCTTGATTTTAAGTGAAACTTTAACGGCCTTACTAATATCTCTATATCGTTACTAATGAGCAGTTTACTAGTTTAGATTTAGTTATAAATTGTTGGAAAAATAAATAATTAGAGTTTTGTACATAATATTTCGTTTAAAATCACTATGCTATTAAAAATATAATAAAAAAATATAAATAAGAGTATGTTACATAAATATAAAGTTCTTGAATTTAAATGTTTTTCTTGCCATGCTATTGCACACAGTGTTTCGTTACATCCGCGAAAATAAATGAACACACGTCTAACGCTACTTGCCAATAATCATAAAAAAATATAAAACGTTAAAAAATCCATTCATGTTACAGTTTTATACTTACGGGTATTCTTAAATTTATTTGTTTTGGAAAATTTAATAACTCGCTAAATATTGATGTTTAGAAAGTAAATGTTTTACACGATATTGAAAAGTAATCCTCTATATGTGTGTATAAAACTAGAACTGACTGATTCATACACATTCAGAGACTTTTTTCCTCTATATGTGTGGTCATTTATTGTCGCGGTTGTAACGACACGTCGTATAACTTCTATGTCCTTTTCATTCACGACCATTTGCTTCCATGCAATATTTCTCCGTTACTCTTTAATAATATAATACGATTTTCATATTATTTCATACTATCTTTTCAACCGCTCTGCCCGCCTATATATATTTTATGGCGTGCTTAAATGAAACCCACGGAATTCTACACGTACGAGTCCGAGTCGTACTTGGCCGATTCTTTAGGGTTCCGTGCCCAAAGGATAAAACGGGCACCCTATTACTAAGACTTCTCTGTCTGTATGTCTGTCTGTCTATCCGTCTGTCACCAGGCTGTATCTTATAAACCGTGATATTTCGACAGTTGAAATTTTCAAATCATCATTAACAACAAATACTTAAAAACAGAATGAAAAAATGTTTAAGTGGGTTTGTTTGTTTAAATGTTTAAACGGTAAAAATCATATTTGTTGTATGGGAGCCCCATACAACAGATATGATTTTTACCGTTTTTATAGATAGTGGTATTATGGCCAGTTTATTTAACTTTATATAAACTGCCAATCATCATAATTTTACAGCGCGAAATATATAGTTAACTATTGTTTCATCCAATTCAACTTAACTATTATTTAGGGTGGCTTTTCTAAAGGTGCCCAAATTCACTCAGGAGGTTCAGACTCGGTAGCATAGTCGTTTATTGAATTAAAAACAAACTTTTTTTTTTTAAAAATTGCCATACATGCCCTAAAAAACAGAACTTGTTGACAATGCGGTAATCATTCATAAATGCGTCGTATACTTTTGAAACTAACTTGTGTGCGTGTTAGTTACGAATGATAACGCGTAAAATAAATGAGTTGCCCATAAAACACGAACTTTTTGAGATAAGTTCAATGAATGTATTTAATTAATTACGAGTGATTTTAAATATTTATCATTTTTTATATAACATTACTAGTTCGTGCCCGCGACTACGTCTGCGCAGAATAGGCTCAAGGCATAACATTCAGACAGAAAGACAGATATACATAAAAATATGTAAGTATATAAATTATAGTGTAAGTCTTATTTTGATGTATAAGCTATATTATTGTACAATTTCATTAAAATCCATTCAGTAGTATTTACGCGAAAGAGTAACAAACATCCTTCCATACTTACAAACTTTCGCCTTTATAATATTAGTAAGGTTTTATATCTAGAATTTAATAAAAAAAATGGATACACTTAGAAAAACCTCCCCGTATACCTTTTTATCGCACAAATCTTCAGAGTGGTTCTTTAAGTTGATTTAACTTTTGTATTTATAGACCGATTTAAATAAAACTAACACCAAATGTTAAGTGAAGCTTACTACAATGCATTAATGTAAGTTACATCTTAATCGATTCCAATATAAACTTAAGGATTAATTTATCCTTTCCTTTACATCTGGCTATGTTAGAATAAACGGTACTATTAGCTATTAAAATAAAAGTTTAATTTTACTATTTTTCTGACTTAATTCTTTCCATCGTGAAAATTCATTGTAAACTCTTAAACTTGACTTATTTTTAATTCAAAGTCAAATCTTTATAGTGCTGAGTCGCATAATCTGTAGCAGATGTCGATGGTACACCATTTTGAATTAAAATATCTCGAAGTTCCGCAAACAAATATTTATGTATCAATTATAAATGTAAATAGTTACAATTAATGAACTTTATGTGTTTTCACTTTTGACATCGACCCAGTTGATTATGTTACGTGTTATTTGCGTAATCACGACAGTACAAATGTTATAAACATTCAGGTCATCAATATTGTTATTGACCTCATTAAAGATTTTGTTATATAACTTACATGGTTAGGATTGTCCTCGTATATGGGGAAAATTCAAAGAATGAAAAAAATAGTATACAAAAATTTTATTTCTCTATATCACATTTTTATAAATTAA